CGTGATTCTTCACTTTGCGAGTAAACTATTCACAGCAGTGCCAAATTTTAAGCGTCACTGAATGCGGGTGCCAGCGGCCTACAAGCAAACCAAAAATCAAATCAATGCGACCACTCACATCACAGCTGGATCATGTTATAGAGAGGTACGTTGAAAGTGACACGTGGGCAAAAATGGGCAAAAAGCGACAATTTCTCACCTTTCTGCCCGTTCGAAGCTCAAGAACTGACAATCGCCACCCTGATCTTGTTGTTTGGCTGGACATGGGGAAGTGAACCAAGAAAAAATTCGACATTTCAATAAACAACTCGCCCAGGGCTGCTCAAAGCTGATATCAAACTATCTCGAAGTTTTGGGCCTTTTTGCCCGTGATTCTTCACTTTGCGACTAAACTATTCACAGCAGTGCCAAATTTTAAGCGTCACTGAATGCGGCTGCCAGCGGCCTACAAGCAAACCAAAAATCAAATCAATGCGACCACTCACATCACAACTGGGTCATGTTATAGAGAGGTACGTTGAAAGTGACACGTGGGCACAAATGGGAAAAAAGCGACAATTTCTCAACTTTCTGCCCGTTCGAAGCTCAAGAACTGACAATCACCACCCTGATCTTGTTGTTTGGCTGGACATAGGGAAGTGAACCAAGAAAAAATTCCACATTTTAATAAACAACTCGCCCAGGGTTGGTCAAAGCTGATATCAAACTATCTCGAAGTTTTGGGCCTTTTTGCCCGTGATTCTTCACTTTGCGACTAATCTATTCACAGCAGTGCCAAATTATAAGCGTCACTGAATGCGGGTGCCAGCGGCCTACAAGCAAACCAAAAATCAAATCAATGCGACCACTCACATCACAGCTGGGTCATGGTATAGAGAGGTACGTTGAAAGTGACACGTGGGCACAAATGGGCAAAAAGCGAAAAGTTCTCACCTTTCTGCGCGTTCGAAGCTCAACAACTGACCATAGCCACCCTGATCTTGTTGTTTAGCTGGACATAGGGAAGTGAACCAAGAAAAAATTCCACATTTCAATAAACAACTCGCCCAGGGCTGCTCAAAGCTGATATCAAACTATCTCGAAGTTTTGGGCCTTTTTGCCCGTGATTCTTCACTTTGCGAGTAAACTATTCACAGCAGTGCCAAATTTTAAGCGTCACTGAATGCGGGTGCCAGCGGCCTAAAAGCAAACCAAAAATCAAATCAATGTGGCCACTCAGATCACAGCTGGATCATGTTATAGAGAGGTACGTTGAAAGTGACACGTGGGCAAAAATGGGCAAAAAGCGACAATTTCTCACCTTTCTGCCCGTTCGAAGCTCAAGAACTGACAATCGCCACCCTGATCTTGTTGTTTGGCTGGACATGGGGAAGTGAACCAAGAAAAAATTCGACATTTCAATAAACAACTCGCCCAGGGCTGCTCAAAGCTGATATCAAACTATCTCGAAGTTTTGGGCCTTTTTGCCCGTGACTCTTCACTTTGCGACTAAACTATTCACAGCAGTGCCAAATTTTAGGCGTCACTGAATGCGGCTGCCAGCGGCCTACAAGCAAACTAAAAATCAAATCAATGCGACCACTCACATCACAACTGGGTCATGTTATAAAGAGGTACGTTGAAAGTGACACGTGGGCACAAATGGGAAAAAAGCGACAATTTCTCACCTTTCTGCCCGTTCGAAGCTCAAGAACTGACAATCACCACCCTGATCTTGTTGTTTGGCTGGACATAGGGAAGTGAACCAAGAAAAAATTCCACATTTCAATAAACAACTCGCCCAGGGTTGGTCAAAGCTGATATCAAACTATCTCGAAGTTTTGGGCCTTTTTGCCCGTGATTCTTCACTTTGCGACTAATCTATTCACAGCAGTGCCAAATTATAAGCGTCACTGAATGCGGGTGCCAGCGGCCTACAAGCAAACCAAAAATCAAATCAATGCAACCACTCACATCACAACTGGGTCATGGTATAGAGAGGTACGTTGAAAGTGACACGTGGGCACAAATGGGAAAAAAGCGACAATTTCTCACCTTTCTGCCCGTTCGAAGCTCAAGAACTGACAATCACCACCCTGATCTTGTTGTTTGGCTGGACATAGGGAAGTGAACCAAGAAAAAATTCCACATTTCAATAACCAACTCGCCCAGGGTTGGTCAAAGCTGATATCAAACTATCTCGAAGTTTTGGGCCTTTTTGCCCGTGATTCTTCACTTTGCGACTAATCTATTCACAGCAGTGCCAAATTATAAGCGTCACTGAATGCGGGTGCTAGCGGCCTACAAGCAAACCAAAAATCAAATCAATGCGACCACTCACATCACAACTGGGTCATGGTATAGAGAGGTACGTTGAAAGTGACATGTGGGCACAAATGGGAAAAAAGTAGGGGTGAAACGATTATACCGAATACTCGAGTACTCGATCGCTTTTTTTGAACGATCGAGTACTCGGAAAAAATTCGAGTACTCTATCATGCATGCATGCACTCAGGTAGAATAAGGACACTTTTCTGGTGCCGCTGTACTTCAAGATCAGCGCTGCAATTCGCCATGGTGATAATGTGGCTGACGTCATGTTACCAAGGAAAATATGGCGTTTGGCCGTGTTCGCCGCACTCGAGCGCTCAGCTTTTTTTCCCAATCTTGTTTTGAAAAATACTTCAAGTCTTTTGCAGCACTTTTGGAGGCCAGTCACATCGCGATCTGTACGAGTATCTTTATCATGGCCATTGTCTTGTGTCGTTTTGAGCTCGAATAGCTTTCTCTGATGAAGGATTCAAATATCATGACGTTCTCTTTTATCGTGGGCATGAAGCTCCCCACTCGCAGCGGGGATGACATCGGACGGAATAAATGTGTCGAGTCCCCAGCAGGAGTTCTGCTGACAAAAGTGATTAGCTCCTCGCGACCTGGGGCATGTGAGGACTCTAGTTCTAGTTGGGCAATACCCCACGGACACATCTAGCTCGAAGCGCAGAGTCGATTGAGAAAAATGACCAAGATCATAAAGAAGGCTTGTTTCCTTCCACAAAATGTTTTAGTAGCCGAGTCCACGCACTGAAAACTGCACTTGCATTGTTCCTGTCCAGTCATACAGTACATCAGTGCAGTACAGAGTGCACTTGCAAGTCACAACGACACGAGCACAGTCGCGTGTACAGACTCAGTTGTGACCAGCGATCGCGCGCGCGTGGGAGTAAAGTACCCTACTCAAGTGCGCATGCTCGGCTCGCTGCATGCACTGTCTGTAGATCTACAGCAGATTGCTGGTGTGATGCACTACATGTACAGCGCAGTCATTTATGTGTAAGAGACAATGTCGGCTATTTTGAAACGGCAATGACAGCTTCATCCATAAACGCGGAGCGTGGGGAATGTCTTTGGCGAATGAGAGCTGTTGTATTGGCTAGCTGTACATCCCAGCAAGCGGGAATGTGCTGGATATCGATACTAAACACCCGTTCATCGCGGTGGTGAGTCTGAACAGACCCCGAGGTATGACAGCTTCGTATACTAAATGTGTACAGTGCGTATGGTGAAACAAGTCGATACTGGTTTCCAGCGAAATGTTGTTATCTATGTACAATATCCACCAATATCCTTTATCTAGCGCTCAAAGGCTATCCAGTTCACCAGGATTTGTGGCCTTACTATTTTTCGTTTTCTCCGCGTTTTGGGTTGAAATCTGAACATAAAAAGTAGCACTGATGACGTCATTCAGCTCATAATTTAAATTTGATATTGGAAATCGATGACAACTAACCCAATGTATCAACACAGAAAATTTGGTTGAAAAATATTATTGTATGCCAAAGTTATTGCCAATACAAGTTTTGTACACACATGATCACCTTATTATACCTGAGCATGTAGAGTGTTGTGCATGCAGTCAACAACCATGGTCACAAGTCACATACTCGTAGACCTACGTGCACAGCCCAGAAGGCGTGCAGAGTACTAGTACTAGTAGACCTACTAGCGTACTCTCTCTAAAAGTAACACGCAATGCCGCATACTGCTGCCAAATGGTCTTGTGGTACATGTAGCCAAGTGTCAGTGCGGCGCTCCGCGTACCTAGTTCAAAGTTGTGCTATGCTGCATGCAGTTTGAGTTCTCACCTTTTCGCTTCCAGTGTCAGGGGCAGTGCGGCATGCACTTCTTTTGGTTCTGGAAAGGTTCTGGAAAACGGTTTTGGTTGTGAGGAGAGCAGTTCCTGTACATGCGACTATGGATAGCTACCGTACCGGTTTGCGTGGTTGAGCTCAGCAGGAATCCCTGCGCGTGGGATCGAGCGGGAGTCAATCGTGTACTACGGAGCCGTTTACATAACGAAAGATGTGAAGGGCTCCGTGAATACAGTCGTGTAGCGAAACTCGGAGAAGACGTGCTAGCTGTCGCTGCTCCTTCAGTTTTCTTCGTGGGTCTCGCAGTCACATCCAAGAGTTCCTTTCGTAGTTGAGTGATTTTCGTTTGCAGTAGTTGGCTTGAGTGAAGTGTAGTGTTGCCTGACGAAAAATGGAGTTGCAACAAGCATCGTCATCAAGCGGGGCTGGCTTACCACGAAAGACTGGTCAGAGATCGAAGGTCTGGGACCACTTCTCCCAACCAGTGTCAAAGCAAGTCTTGTGCAAACATTGCCAGGGCACATACAAATATACGGGTGGTATAACGAACTTGTCCAATCATCTGCTAACATGCCAAAGTTACAAGGAGAAGAGGGAAAGTGAGAAAGTGAGAAAGGCAGCGAGCCGAGCGAGCGCAGCGCAGCGGCAGCAACACGTACCACGGTTGGGACAAAGCCAATGGAATCGTTTGCAGTATCGCACTCGAAGAGAACTTGTAATTCGGCCAGGTCAACTCAGATTCGGGGGCTCATCGCCGACTGGGTCACTGCTGATATGCGTCCTCTTGGGATAGTCAACGATCCTGGGTTCAGGCAATTGCTGTCCTTCGTGGAACCTTCATTCACCGTTCCCTCACGGACGACCATCGCATCCATGGTGCGTCGGCGGCACGATGCTGCACGAAAGGAGCTTGTGACAAAATTAGCAGGTGCTACATCAATTGCTATCACAACGGGTGCGTGGACATCGAAGGCTGTGGTCTCCTTTGTAACGTACACGAGCCACTATGTCACGGACGACTGGAAACTGGTGTCGCACGTTCTTGAGACCAAGCGCTTCAACGGGAGTCACACAGCGGAAACCCTTGCTGCCAGCACAGAAGCAGTTCTTAGCAGATTCAACATTGCGCATGACACTGTGCAGTGCTTAGTCCATGATGAAGCACCAAACCAGATGGCAGCGAGCAGACTTCTTCGCAGCCAACATCACTGGGATTACCAAGCTTGCGCTGCCCATCGGTTGCAAACCTGCATCAGGCATGCTATAACAGCATCAAGGCCTGTCACGAAACTGCTGGCTTCTTCCAGGCAACTTGTTGGTCACTTCAGCCACAGTGCCAAGAGCACAGAGGCGCTAAACAACAAGCAAGTAGCTATGGCGTCAGCTAGCAAGTCTGGCACTCCTCTACGAGTCATCCAGGATGTTCCAACGCGATGGAACAGCTCCTTTCTGATGCTCCAGCGCCTGATTCACCTGAGGCTGCCAATCATGGCGGTTTTGGAAGACCCCAAGCTGACCAAGAGCTCCCATCGGCACCTGCAGTTGAAGGACCACCAGTGGAATCTCGCCAAGGAGATAGTGGCAGCACTGGAGGCACCAGCAAAGGCTACCACTGTTCTTGGTGGGGAAACCTACTGTACACAGACGTTGGTGGTGCCGGTGGCCAAGTCTTTGCTACGTGGTCTTCGTACTGCGAATGAGGAACTCTCGGCATCGGCTGCGGATTTCCGGAAATCACTGGCAATGGAAATCGAGGTGAAGTTGTCCTCGATCCATTTGACCCAATCTCGCTGCCATCTGTATCTGCAGCACTGGATCCCAGGTCACGGAGCCTCGGATTCTTGGACAGTGACGAAGACAAGGACGAGTTGAAGTCAGAGATTGTTCGCCGGGTGTGTGCTCAAATCACTGCCGACAGCAATGGGAGCAGCTCTGATGACGAATGTATTCTGGAGCCACCTGCCAAGCGACCTATGGAAGAGGACATGTCGTTGTTCTTCGCGTGCCCTAGCGTCGAGCCATCCACAACTTCATCGGCAGCATCGGATTGTGAGGTGGAGGTAACCCAATTCTTCACGGAGAAACAAGTAGGCTCATCTGTGGACCCACTCGATTGGTGGAGGACGAATGCGGACAGGTTTCCCACCATGGCAAGGTTGGCAAAGCGCGTGCTGTGCATACCTGCCACCTCTGTGCCGTCGGAGCGAGTATTTTCAGCGGCTGGCATCATTGTCAGCAAACTACGAGCAAGTCTAACGCACGAGAACGTTGATGCACTCGTCTTCCTTCATGCAAACAGTGGTCTTCAGGCAGCAAGAACTGCTGCCCCTGTGGCGGTCCAGCAGTTGATGCCACGGCTTGAGAGGTTTGCAGAGGAAGAAGCCGATGACTTGCCTCCTTTGCCTGACCTGTAGACAGATAGTTGCAGCCAGTGCGTATCATGATGTTCCATCAGTTCTTTCTTTCTTTATTCATTTATTTAACTAACTTCTGAGCAGGTGGCTGTTTGAACGCGTTTAGTCTCCTCAGTGGAGCTCAGAATCACTGATTGTGTGTACTTCTTTTAGTTTCAATTTATTTGACTAGTGGCTCTTGGTTGCCTTCTAGGGTTGGCTGTTGTGAGAATTTCACCGTCACATATCGATGATAATAATATTATGATTGATATGATTGATATCACATCTGATAATACTGCACATTTGTGCCCTATTCAAGGCTATTGTTATTGAGGTCGGGCGTGAATGCGTGAACACGTGATCCATGTATGTACGTAATGTGTGTGCATGCGGACAAGTGAACTGTGGCATGTGCCGTGATGCTGGAAATGGGGAAAGTGACAGTGCAGGCAATAGTCGTATACTCGAATACTCGATCGGAAAAAAATAGAGTACTCGTACTCGAGTTTTGCATGCACACTTTCACCCCTAGAAAAAAGCGACAATTTCTCACCTTTCTGCCCGTTCGAAGCTCAAGAACTGACAATCACCACCCTGATCTTGTTGTTTGGCTGGACATAGGGAAGTGAACCAAGAAAAAATTCCACATTTCAATAAACAACTCGCCCAGGGCTGGTCAAAGCTGATATGAAACTATCTCGAAGTTTTGGGCCTTTTTGCCCGTGATTCTTCACTTTGCGACTAAACTATTCACAGCAGTGCCAAATTTTAAGCGTCACTGAATGCGGGTGCCAGCGGCCTACAAGCAACCAAAAATCAAATCAATGCGACCACTCACATCACAGCTGAATCATGTTATAGAGAGGTACTTGAAAGTGACACGTGGGCACAAATGGGCAAAAAGCGACAATTTCTCACCTTTCTGCCCGTTCGAAGCTCGAGAACTGACCATAGCCACCCTGATCTTGTTGTTTAGCTGGACATAGGGAAGTGAACCAAGAAAAAATTCCACATTTCAATAAACAACTCGCCCAGGGCTGCTCAAAGCTGATATCAAACTATCTCGAAGTTTTGGGACTTTTTGCCCGTGATTCTTCACTTTGCGACTAATCCATTCACAGCAGTGCCAAATTATAAGAGTCACTGAATGCAGGTGCCAGCGGCCTACAAGCAAACCAAAAATCAAATCAATGCGACCACTCACATCACAGCTGGGTCATGTTATAGAGAGGTACGTTGAAAGTGACACGTGGGCACAAATGGGAAAAAAGCGACAATTTCTCAACTTTCTGCCCGTTCGAAGCTCAAGAACTGACAATCACCACCCTGATCTTGTTGTTTGGCTGGACATAGGGAAGTGAACCAAGAAAAAATTCCACATTTCAATAAACAACTCGCCCAGGGCTGGTCAAAGCTGATATCAAACTATCTCGAAGTTTTGGGCCTTTTTGCCCGTGATTCTTCACTTTGCGACTAATCTATTCACAGCAGTGCCAAATTATAAGAGTCACTGAATGCGGGTGCCAGCGGCCTACAAGCAAACCAAAAATCAAATCAATGCGACCACTCACATCACAACTGGGTCATGTTATAGAGAGGTACGTTGAAAGTGACACGTGGGCACAAATGGGCAAAAAGCGAAAAGTGCTCACCTTTCTGCCCGTTCGAAGCTCAAGAACTGACCATAGCCACCCTGATCTTGTTGTTTAGCTGGACATAGGGAACTGAACCAAGAAAAAATTCCACATTTCGATAAACAACTCGCCCAGGGCTGCTCAAAGCTGATATCAAACTATCTCGAAGTTTTGGGCCTTTTTGCCCGTGATTCTTCACTTTGTGACTAAACTATTCACAGCAGTTACAAATTTTAAGCGTCACTGAATGCGAGTGCCAGCGGCCAACAAGCAAACCAAAAATCAAATCAATGCGACCACTCACATCACAGCTGGATCATGTTATAGAGAGGTACGTTGAAAGTGACACGTGGGCACAAATGGGCAAAAAGCGACAATTTCTCACCTTTCTGCCCGTTCGAAGCTCATGAACTGACCATAGCCACCCTGATCTTGTTGTTTAGCTGGACATAGGGAAAAGAACCAAGAAAAAATTCCACATTTCAATAAACAACTCGCCCAGGGCTGCTCAAAGCTGATATCAAACTATCTCGAAGTTTTGGGCCTTTTTGCCCGTGATTCTTCACTTTGCGACTAAACTATTCACAGCAGTGCCAAATTTTAGGCGTCACTGATGCGGCTGCCAGCGGCCTACAAGCAAACCAAAAATCAAATCAATGCGACCACTCACATCACAGCTGGGTCATGTTATACAGAGGTACGTTGAAATGAACACGTGGGCACAAATGGGCAAAAAGCGACAATTTCTCACCTTTCTTCCCGTTCGAAGCTCAAGAACTGACAATCACCACCCCGATCTTGTTGTTTAGCTCGACATAGGGAAGTGAACCTAGAAAAAATTCCATATTTCAATAAACAACTCGACCAGGGCTGCTCAAAGCTGATATCAATCTATCTCGAAGTTTTGGGCCTTTTTGCCCGTGATTCTTCACTTTGCGACTAAACTATTCACAGCAGTGCCAAATTTTTGTCGTCACTGAATGAGGGTGCCAGCGGCCTACAAGCAAACCAAAAATCAAATCAATGCGACCACTCACATCACAGCTGGGTCATGTTATAGAGAGGTACGTTGAAAGTGACACGTGGGCATAAATGGGCAAAAAGCGACAATTTCTCACCTTTCTGCCCGTTCGAAGCTCAAGAACTGACCATAGCCACCCTGATCTTGTTGTTTAGCTGGACATAGGGAATTGAACCAAGAAAAAATTCCACATTTCAATAAACAACTCGCCCAGGGCTGCTCAAAGCTGATATAAAACTATCTCGAAGTTTTGGGCCTTTATGCCCGTGATTCTTCACTTTGCGACTAAACTATTCACAGCAGTGCCAAATTTTAGGCGTCACTGAATGCGGGTGCCAGCGGCCTACAAGCAAACCAAAAATCAAATCAATGCGACCACTCACATCACAGCTGGGTCATGTTATAGAGAGGTACGTTGAAAGTGACACTTGGGCACAAATGGGCAAAAAAGTGAAAAGTTCTCACCTTTCTGCCCGTTCGAAGCTCAAGAACTGACCATAGCCACCCTGATCTTGTTGTTTAGCTGGACATAGGGAAGTGGACCAAGAAAAAATTCTACATTTCAATAAAGAACTCGCCCAGGGCTGCTCAAAGCTGATATCAAACTATTTCGAAGTTTTGGGCCTTTTTGCCCGTGATTTTTCACTTTGCGACTAAACTGTTCACAGCAGTGCCAAATTTTAGGCGTCACTGAATGCGGGTGCCAGCGGCCTACAAGCAAGCCAAAAATCAAATCAATGCGACCACTCACATCACAGCTGGGTCATGTTATAGAGAGGTACGTTGAAAGTGACATGTGGGCAAAAATGGGCAAAAAGCGACAATTTCTCACCTTTCTGCACATTCGAAGCTCATGAACTGACCATAGCCACCCTGATCTTGTTGTTTAGCTGGATATAGGGAAGTGAACCAAGAAAAAATTCCACATTTCAATAAACAACTCGTCCAGGGCTGCTCAAAGCTGATATCAATTCATCTCGAAGTTTTGGGCCTTTTTGCCCGTGATTCTTCACTTTGCGACTAAACTATTCACAGCAGTGCCAAATTTTAAGCGTCACTGAATGCGGATGCCAGCGGCCTACAAGCAAACCAAAAATCAAATCAATGCGACCACTCACATCACAGCTGGTCCATCTTATAGAGAGGTACGTTGAAAGTGACACGTGGGCACAAATGGGCAAAAAGCGACAATTTCTCACCTTTCTGCCCATTCGAAGCTCATGAACTGACCATAGCCACCCTGATCTTGTTGTTTAGCTGGACATAGGGAAGTGAACCAAGAAAAAATTCCACATTTCAATAAACAACTCGCCCAGGGCTGCTCAAAGCTGATATCAAACTATCTCGAAGTTTTGGGCCTTTTTGCCCGTGATTCTTCACTTTGCGACTAAACTATTCACAGCAGTGCCAAATTTTAAGCGTCACTGAATGCAGGTGCCAGCGGACTACAAGCAAACCAAAAATCAAATCAATGCGACCACTCATATCACAGCTGGATCATGTTATAGAGAGGTACTTGAAAGTCACACGTGGGCACAAATGGGCAAAAAATGACAATTTCTCACCTTTCTGCCCGTTCGAAGCTCAAGAACTGACCATAGCCACCCTGATCTTGCGGTTTGGCTGGACATAGGGAAGTGAACCAAGAAAAAATTCCACATTTCAATAAACAACTCGCCCAGGGCTGCTCAATGCTGATTTCAAACTATCTCGAAGTTTTGGGCCTTTTTGCCCGTGATTCTTCACTTTGCGACTAATCTATTCACAGCAGTGCCAAATTTTAGGCGTCACTGAATGTGAGTGCCAGCGGCCTACAAGCAAACCAAAAATCAAATCAATGCGACCACTCACATCACAAGTGGGTCATGTTATAGAGAGGTACGTTGAAAGTGACACGTGGGCACAAATGGCAAAAAAGCGACAATTTCTCACCTTTCTGCCCGTTCGAAGCTCAAGAACTGACAATCACCACCCTGATCTTGTTGTTTGGCTGGACATAGGGAAGTGAACCAAGAAAAAATTCCACATTTCAATAAACAACTCGCCCAGGGCTGCTCAAAGCTGATATCAAACTATCTCGAAGTTTTGGGCCTTTTTGCCCGTGATTCTTCACTTTGCGACTAATCTATTCATAGCAGTGCCAAATTATAAGCGTCACTGAATGCGGGTGCCAGCGGCCTACAAGCAAACCAAAAATCAAATCAATGCGACCACTCACATCACAGCTGGGTCATGTTATAGAGAGGTACGTTGAAAGTGACATGTGGGCACAAATGGGCAAAAAACGACAAATTCTCACCTTTCTGCCCGTTCGAAGCTCATGAACTGACCATAGTCACCCTGATCTTGTTGTTTAGCTGGAC